CGTGCAACCGTCAGTAAACATGCAGTATGATGTGCAGCTGCAGCTCTAACCGTGTGTGTCTGTGTTGAAGGAAGCTTTGCACGTCGTGCCTGTGCAGAGGCTCCATGGGTCACCGCCGTGCGTAACGCTGGCTCTCCATGGAAGACTGCTTGGAGAAGCGGCTCATCGCAACCCACACTTCAAGTTAGTGAGTGACCCTTTAAACATGATGAGTATAAACCAGGACGGGATATCCTTACCGGTGCCTTGCTTCGGAGTTCGTCCCGGCCGAGAGAGCCTCGTTGGGGAAAGACAGTGGAGGAGGTAGTGGAGGTGTTGGGATCCCCGCAGCTGGGACCTTCTGGCAGGACTCTGTGGTCACCAGCGGGAATCTCAGCCCGACATGCAGCAACCCGATGGAAGGAGGGGGCTTGCTGTCCACCGGGAAGTCGTGCAAAAGCAGGCCGGTGACGGTGGCCTATGTGGTGAACGGAGAGGCTAGCCAGCAGAATAACGCGGAGAGCATGGCGCTGCAGTGCCTGAAGGACGCCTGCGAGACATCGGGCAGCAGGCTGGAGACTGTCAACTTCGGGAAGCTGGACTTTGGGGAGACCATGGTGCTGGACAGCTTCTACAATGCAGGTGAGTCAGAGCAACATCCAACCCAAAACTTTAGAAAACTGCTCCTGAACGCTGCCTGTTGGGATTTTTATAGAATCATATCAGATCACAGGTTTATTGCCAAGTTTACACATAACAGGAATTGTCCTTGGTGTATGTGAGATGCATACATGAACACAGTTAAATTAAATGAATTGTAAGAAAAACAACCCACAAATAAATATGAAAAACTATACAAAAAAACATCATAACAATAACCTTAAGAAAATTGTTTACATGAAATATGGATACATCAAAAAACTACATTCAGTATACTATGAAAAAATACTCTCAGAATAATACAATTAAATATTGTAACTGTACTAAATGATGTTACTTGTTAGACGCTTTTATCCAAAACGACTCACATACTCAATACTGTGGGCAATCCCCACAGGAGAGATTTGGGGTGAAGTTTCTCAGGGACACAACGACATGCTGACTGCAGTTGGACTTGAACTTGCTACCCCCTGATTTGAAGTTCAGCGCACTATCCACTGAGCCACAGCCTCCCAACTAAAAGTTATGAAAAGTGTTAAGCTGCGCAGTTTGTATACAAATGTGCAGAGGGTTGTGCAGAACTGGCAATACTTAAATGAAATAAATACAAATAAGTTATTGTTTGCGTAGTGTGCATTAGTGTAATAGTGGCTATGGAGTGGCTGTGGCCTTGTTGATGCACAGGAATGTAATCTCTGCTCCCCAATGTAATGATTAAACTAAATGATCAATACCCAGTCACCCGAGAAATACCACTACTTCATGATGGCATGTCACAGGAATGCTAGTCTCAGGGGTCAAAGGTCACCTCTCCCTTGGAAGCTGTTTGCCTGCAGGACAGGTTGCTGTTTGCTCCTTAAACACAACACTTCTCTCTCTGCATGTCAGGGCTTGAGGCTGCATGCTCAGTTATTTCCCCGCTGTACTGAACAAAGCTGGAAGTCATTGAGCAGAAGTGCATCATTGGGGTTTGATTCATTCGCTCCATAAATGTAGGGGGTTGATTGTTATATTTCCCCCCCCATGCATAGTTTCCCTCCCTTCCATTGTGTGCCTCCAGTATTGTGCCAGACTGTCATCATGGGGGAAACCATGAGGCTGGACTTTCCACTGGAAATCTAGGAGCGGAGATGCGAACCTGAACCCTGAAAGCACTTTCCCTTCTTGTTCATGCTGTGTGTGCAGTAGCTGGCTCATAATCCGAGTGGAAACGTTCAGTTGTACAAAAAGTCAGAGGTTGTGGTCAAATAAGAAGCAGCTGTAATGTACAGGGTGTGTTGAAGAGCTGGGAGCAGCAGCGATGTTTGCATTTCACTCCCATATTTGGGATGAAGAGGATCTGTTCATCAGATATTGCACAAATCAAACGACAACAACCCAGATTCCTGCAGCTGCTCCTGAGAAACCACAAAGCCTTTTAAAGGAGAACACAGTAGCAAACGAGCAGAATATAGAATAGAATAGAATATAATCGTTTAATGTCATTATACATGTACAATGAGATAATAATAAATGCTTCTCCCTATCAAGGGTGCCATCAAAACAAAAACATCACAACATAAGACAACAAAATACACACAGCATACATACTTAGGAATAAGGAATAAAGGAATAAGGAATAAAGTGCAGTAATTATTTCCAGGAGTATAAAAATAAAATCTGTAATGTAATAAATAATAATAATAGTATGTATTTATAATAATAATAATAATAATAATAGTAATGATAATATATACGTTTCAAGGATAACACTAGGATGTATCATACTTTGATGTGCCTACTTTACTTACAACTCAAAATGTTTAAAACGATTACTTGAAAAGACCTTATCCTAAGGACAACCATGAATACATATGAGCCATTTTGGTCTCATCTCTAAAGGCATTGGAGCATGTTTTCTACAAGGACAACTATAAGGAATAATACGCTGTGAAAGTGCAGCGTGTACAAGTTAGAACATAGTGGCAGAATCACTAAGAAAACTGGCATTTCCATGGAGCCTGTTTTATGTGGAGGTCAGAATAGATTTAACATCGCAGTTTAGCTCATTTTGATTAAAAAGTTGAAGGTAATAATAGAGATTTTGTTCAACTGCATTATAGCGGCTAGAATTCAGACCCGCTTTACATATTACTCTTTACATAAGGTTTATAAGATGTATTCATTGCTCATTTCTTAAGTGTAATGTAAATTGCACTAATGGACCAGTTACAAGCCGTACAGTATAACGAAGCACTTGGGGTTGTGATGAAACGTTCTGTATCATTTGTTAAGTCATTAATAAGAGGTTTCTAATAAACATAAAATGTGCCGCCATGAAAGTAAGTAAACATAAATGACAGATTCGAAACACTAATAGATTTATCGTGTGAATAATTACTAAAATAATAGACGATTGTTTTGGAAAGGATTTGTTGGTGATTTTTGATGAGAAGTATATTGACGATAAATCATTTCATTTCATTTCATTTCAAACCTTTATTTAGACAGATTGGTCCCTTGAGATCATCAATCTCATTTACAAGGGAGACCTGCATCATTTAGTTCCACAGTGATGACTCATTTGAAGAGTTGGTGGAAAATAAAGTGAATATCAAGCAAAAATGTTAAGCAGCTACTTTGAGTTGTATTTATGTCAAATAGTGCAATTGATGGGAAACTAGTGCAGTACCACTCTTGTCATGTAATTGATGCACCGACAGTTTAGATTTTACCCACTTCATAATGACTAGGAAAACCAGACGGTTGTATTTCTGCTGAGCACACGACAGGCGTGTTGCTTGTCATAACATCACGTTATTAGTTGTACAAACACGCCATGTTCTCTTTTTTATTTGTGTGTTCTTATTATTCTTCTTCTGAACTACTGTGGAATTTTCCCATAAATTCACATGGGAGGGCAGAGGCATTTTCCCAGAAACCCTGAGCCCTATCTGCTCACACACATGTTGCTTCATCCTCTTCCTGCACGAGTGTGCATCAGAGATGAAGGCCAGACAGCAGAGACCTTTAAACAATGAGCTCAGAGACACCCTGAAAGCATGTGTTGATTTGTTCAGATGATTAGTCCAGATTCCAGTCTGCCTTAAATGTCTGAGAGACGGACCGAGCTGATTGTCAAGCCTCTGAGTAACGATACACAGGAAGTGTTTGGGAGAAATGTAGATGTACACAACAACAACAACGACTAACCATATCTTATCAGGTTCATTTGTATTCCTTTTTATATGAGATGTGATGATCAGGAATGTATTGCTTGTCTCACTCACAGTGATCACATGATGTTATTGATTGAGACTAATCAACAGTGATGTTGTGTTAAACAGACAAAAATAACAAATTACCGGACATGTTAATCATAAAAAGGAAGATATCAGCCAAAAAGTATACATTTGGGAGAGTAGAGCTGACATTTAGGATGAAACTGATATTTATTGAATTTGTTTTGCTTGGTTTTAATATTGCACAAGAAACAAATCTCCATCCCAATTTCCCAGGTGCCTGCATGATGTACTCTTATGTCTTGCTTTTTCTTTGAACAACAGTCAAAAATATATATTCATTTAACGTGGCCCTTATATGCTCATTTTCCGGTTCATATCTGCCCAAAAATTGCAGTTCAATTGCATATTTTTACCTAGCAACATGGTTGATTCTTCAGTTTTTATAATCTGTAAACGATATTGGGTTGGGTTTTTCTGGTCCCTTATCACTACCTACCTTAGGACTTAATGCATACGGTTGCAGAAACAGAGTCTAACCTTGATAATCTGTGAACCACTCTTTTCCACGTGCTGATAAAAGATTTCTGCTGCTGGGAGTTGTTGCTCACAGTGGTCTGTTTATTTCTATGTCACAATAAAGCAGCAGCAGCAGCTGAGATCGAGTCACTTGCACAGCACCTGTCAGAGCTGCTGCTTCACTCCGCCATCTGTCCTGACTCATTATTACAATGTATTACCAATAATACACCCATAATGTAGGAGCCCTAAACTAACCTTTGAGTATTGATCACACACATCCACTGAGCGAGCAAAGTGCACGATGCTTTAGCGAGATGATACATGCACCAGACTGCTCCTGTGGATCTGGTCATTGTGAGCTGCAGAAGGAGTCTGTATTGTTGTGGACTCCAGATGTCTGAATCATCATCCGCCTCCTAAATGTTGTATTGCAGTTCAAAGGTGTGTTTTGCTTGGAGCTCAGCCAATCCAATCCTCAGCCTTTGTAGGTGGGAATAATGGAGGTGATGTAATGTAATGGCGCCAGTCCCAGAATCCAAATGAATGTGTCCAAACATAAAAGGGCCACTAATGTAGATATGATCGTAGTTAGATGAGGCGAAAGTGATTTACTTAAAGGGACAGTTCACCTAAAGATCATCTCATATAGTGCTACTGATGAATCCAGGTGGTTTAAGTAGATGTGATACGGCAGACAGAAAATAGTTCCTGCATGAAACTGCTCACAACAAAGCCCATGGATGATCTTGAGAAATTGGGTCATGATTTTCTGGGAAAGAGACATTTCTGTTGAGTTTTATTATTTATTTTTTGCACTTTGAGCACATCTAGTTTAATTAAAATTAGAGGGAAAGCAGACACTTGGCGACTCAAAAAGAAGCCAATCTAAATTGATTGATGGCACTCTAAGTGAAAGGGAATTTATTATTTTAATTTGGAGTGAATTAATCCTTATAATAATAATAATGTCTGGATCTGAACCAGGCTGTTGGTTGGCAGAGGTATTTTTTACTGTTGTTGTTTTCCTCTGCTCTTAAAACTAATTAGTCTATCTTGTACTCGAAACAATAAGTTAATAAGGTTCAGAGTTGATAGTAGATCTTCCCTTGATCAAATTGATACCAAGTAAATTAATCTAAAAGACTTTGATTGATGTATTGAAGTAGTGAACAGTTAAGTGGGCTTGCTCAATATGTTATAAATAATATATGACTAAAGCATGTTGACATCCTAATGCTGGTTAAACACATCCAGCTAAAGCAATCCTTCCTTTGTCAAATGCATAATGAGATACATGCCGAATATCACAAATGATTTTTAAACAAACACATGTCAGTCTCTACAGTGCCATAATACCTTCAGAGCAATATCAACAATACAGCAGTTAGTATTTATCAATGAGACTTGCTGTTATTGAGCTGCTGTTTCCTCATAGCTGTGGTATGCAGAGCGTTATCTCTCCAGTTGATTATTACACTGCGTTACTGTGGGATTTACACAGAGCACAATGGCTTTTTGAAACAATTCCTGAGAACTTTGAAAGGAACTCCTCCTCGTCTGTCTGAGTGTTTTTCTGACCTCTTGTCTTTGCGCTCGCCACTCCACCAGCGACTCAGACATTTTTTTCAGGCTGTCCACTTTTTCAATCGGTTACATTATCGAGAAGGCTGAAAGAAGTGCATTGTTGAGCATGGTCACGAGCTAGAACGATTTTTTTTAAAGCATGATAAGGCGCGTTCACACCAAGTACTTTTCCCACAAAGGTTCCTGAGAACTACGATTTAGTTGCGTTCACACCAAAAAGTCCCAGGAACTAAATTAGTTCTAGAGAACCTTTTTTACCCCCTTTTCCGTCCATGCTAGAGAGCAGGTACTTTCGTGGGAGAAAAAGGTTCCTATGTCTGATTGGCTGGGCGGATTGCAAACCACGCCCCGTAAAACTCCCAAAAAGTGTTGTGAAGCCGCCATTTTATTATCCTCGCATTGCATTATTAGCATTAGCATTAGCCCAGCGCAGAAACGCAGAGAGACTAACTTATGACAACACAAAATAAAACATGGGAGCGGTGGAGATGAGGAGGTGTCGGCGTTCTGGCCGTTTACTCGGAAGGCTTCAGTAGAAGCTGCTGGGAGTCCCAGCAGCTTCTACTGAAGCCAGTCCCCAACTCCGGAGACTTCCGGCCGGGGATTTTGGGTGGCAGTATACGCCGTGAAGTTGTTTGCGGCCTGCCAGTAAACCCAAAGCAGAAGAAGAAGAAGTGACGTCAGCGGCTTCATTTGCCTAATTTGCTAATTTGCTAATCCACCCCCAGGATCTAATTTCCGGTGTGAACGCGATCTGTACTTAGTTCATGAGAACTAAAGAGTTCTCAGGAACCTTTGTGGGAAAAGTACTTGGTGT